GTGTGTGTGTGTGTGTGTGTGTGTGTGTGTGTGTGTGTGTGTGTGTGTGTGTGTGTGTGTGTGTGTGTGTGTGTGTGTGAGATCTCCCAGTTCCAGGCCGAGCACAGGCAGTAACTGGTACGGCTTTGTCAGAAAGGGCTACACCTATATTCACATACTTCATGTTAATATTTTCTTGTCTCAATTCAAATCCATAAAACGCAAATCAGATCACATAAATACATAAACGAAACTCAAAACAATATTTTGTAAAGGTTGAAGAGAGAAAGCTATAATCATTTGGAAAGGAACTTTTGATCTTACGAACTTCTGTATTAGTATTTAAAAGTATCCAAAGCTCTTTATTTTAGAGCCGCAATGATTCATCGTTCAGCAGAAAATGTTTTAGAAATGATCTTGACAAGTGTTGTAATTTTGGGCTGTGGGGATTTGAGGGCTTTTTCCACCTTCCTCTGACATTTTAAAGACAATAAATCAAGAAATGAATCAACATAAAAACTCTTATTGAAAATTATTTAACAGAACAAAAATCTCAAATGTCATAAAGGTTGCAAATGTATTTTGGATTTTTTTTATCTATCATACTCTCTGGATATTATTCTCCCAAAAGAAAGATAAGTATCTAAAACTGTAAACATGATGCACATTCTTTTGTTGTGATGTAACGTTAAGGTTCCGGATGCCAGTTTCTTTACAGATTGTTCATACGTTCACCATCCTGAGACCCATCTTAACTTCCTCACTAAGTTATTTGTGTTGTGCTGACAATGAATGACTGGGAATGTTCCTTCAATATCTCTAGTTCAAACTGTGTTTTGTCCATGACTCTGGGTGAGGCAATTTGTCCATCAGATCTCTAAGCCCTCTGTTTATTGTGTGTTTCTCTGCTCAGAAAAAAGCCAAAGGTGAGGAGCTGTTTGACCAGATCATGTATCATCTGGATATCGTAGAGAAGGACTACTTCGGACTGCGCTTCATGGACTCCGCACAAGTGCCAGTAAGACTGGAGATGCACTTTACACTTTACATTAGTCTGTTGTTATCCGATACTCTTTATTTTTGATACCATAGTATGTTGGGTTGAACCAAATCACTGCTCATAGATGGATGGCTGAAGAAAGTAAAGGCAAAGTTTCTTGGTCCCCTTGTAGTGGCTGGCTGCAGTATCGGTCAAAACCCTCACCTCCTCCATGTTAATGGACAGGACTTGGGTGAAAATAAAAAGTCAAAGTACATTTCAGATACATTTTTCTCAAAGATGGTTTCTGTCTCTTTAGGTAGTTCACATGTTATATATCAAGTGCTCATTTTTCTCATAGGTTTGGTTTTAATTAGTTATTTGATGCTATTTAAAAACAGGGTGAAACATCACGTATACTGTGCACTCATCAACTTTAGTGAAATTATTTATGTCTTTTGAGTTAAGTTATTATTGTATGCTTCACTAATCGTTTCAGGCAGCCACTTCTTAGCCAGACTTTAAGTTCCAGTCCACTATTCACCCACTTGGTGAGAAGCTTGAGACAGGGGCTTTCCCTGTCCGTGAATGAGCTAAAGGGATTGGTTATGGGACACTTGGGAGTCAGGCCGTGCACTAAGACAAGTGTTTTAAGTCACTGGTCTGCTACCATCCTTGTTCCTTCACACTGATCCTCTGTGAAGGCCATGGAAGGACGCAGAGCCAGTGGGAGGGAAGATAAAGCAGAAGGGAACGACAAAGAGGAGAGGAGTGGAGCTAGAGAGTAAAAGAGTGGGAGAGTGTATGAGGTCGAGAGAGGGAGAGAGAGGGCTGAAATAAGGAATGTGGGGGAGAGTAGACTAGAGTGTGCGTTTTCATCTGTTATCTTTCTCTAACACACACACACACACACACACACACACACACACACACACACACACACACACACACACACACTGCCTCTCCTTGACATTGTTCATGCCTCATAGAACCAGAACCAAGAAGAATTACTGTGTGTATGTGTTCACATATATAATAATAACATCTATTAAAATATGACAGATGCATATCAATTATCCAACATCCCATAATAATTAGAATGTTTTGATAGTAAACCACACCTTTCTGAAGATATTGTACTGTTTTAATTGTTAACCTTGATGTTGTTTCAGCATTGGCTCGATGTTACAAAAAGTATCAAAAAGCAAGTGAAAAGTAAGTATACACTGGCCTCTACAGTTTTTTTTCCCTTCCCCAAACATACATAATTACTTGCGATCATCCAGTGATTTCTTTTTGCACCTATATATCTTTATATCATGTGTATTCGACAATTTCTCTTCATCCTGTTACTTTGGTTACTATAACTTGATGGTTGCTAAATGCATTGTTAAACCTGATAGTGTTATTCATCTGTTCTTCAGTCGGTCCACCATACTGCCTGCACTTGAGAGTGAAGTTTTACTCTTCAGAACCCAACAACCTGCATGAGGAGCTCACCAGGTGAGTAAAGACATGTGAACTGTCTACTGTAGTGCACCTTCTCTTGTATACAAATTAAGCAAAACCTCAAGTTTACCTTTTCTTGTAAACCTTCAAAAGTTAGTATGTTTGGATGAAGCAGCCATGGACCATATCACTGAATGTCTGTGACTGAGGTTGAAATTAATTCACTCAGATCTGTCGTGGCAATTTTGCAATCCCACTCTGACAGCGAGGAACGAGACACAAATCTCTTACAGTATTGTCACAATTCAATGCTTAGAGCATCGGTACACAAGAGAAAGGTTGGTTTGTAATATGCACCCAATGGGAAGCTGTTCTTCTCTTTATACCTTTGGCTCTTTCGTTCCCCTCTGGTTGAGGTTGTTTATTAAGCCAAAGGTGAGGATCTTCTGATGACATCAAGGTGGGCAACAATGCCTTAGTTCATGCAATCAGGCCAAGATTCATTCAGTCAGCAAAGCTTACATTGTACAGGATTCAACATGATCAAACATAGGGGAAATGAACATGAATGCATTGTGTATGACAAAAGATTACCTTACAGATCAAACTGCTACCACTCAAGACATTACTTTTTTAATCTAAAAACATGGTTGGTTTCAGTGCCCCTGATTGCCGATCGGCATAGATGGTTGTTTTTGTACGATATCCCATAAAACTGTAAAATTTAGTCAAATGTCATTACTATATTTAAATTGTTGTGTTTGACTTGCAGATACCTATTTGTGTTACAATTAAAGCAAGACATCCTTAGTGGCAAGTAAGTATTATCACCTCATCTTAATGAAGTACACAAAATATTATAGAATAATACACACAATATTTGGATAAAAGTTAAGTTAGAGAAAGGAAGATACAGAAATATAAATGACTGACACACATCAGTGCTCCAACCTGCCATAATAGACCTGACAGCAGCACGTTAGAGGCCTGTGTAGCCAGTTCTGAGATTAAGTCATGCCAACAGTTGAGGTATACATTAGTAATTATATTTCCCTCTAGTATAAATTACTTGAAAATTGTGAGACATTGGTTTCTGATTGAATCATGAAAGATGAAGGTCACTCAAAAATAAAATAATGACGCAAACTTCTCATCTTTCATTTTGTATTTCTTGGTATCAACACATTCTGAGTGTGTATCCAGTCTGTTGAGAAGCTGTTTCAGTGAGTCAATCACAGAGCAGACCAGAACAGATAATAACCTTATTATAGAATGAGAAACCTTTTCCAAGCCCACTCTGCTGACCCAAGTCAACATTTTACTGTTCTGAGTCCAGTGGGTCTCAGTGAGGGGAATGTTGCTGGCCTGTGTCAGTATTTACTAATTTTAATCTGTGACTGACTTAACGTGTTTGTATTTTCAGGCTAGAATGTTCGTTTGACACTGCGGTGGAGTTGGCTGCCTTCTCGTTACAGGGTAAGCACAGCAGGTATCTAGGATCCTCTGCAACTCTGTTTTGGTAATTGGAATCACATCTACAACAGCTGCCATTTTCAGGGTTATGTTTTATTGCAGTGCAAGCTGCATTACAGAGTTGAGACGTCTGCTGTCTTTGCTGCACTGAGCCCAAAAATGCTTGTCAAGAAAAAATAGAGCCTCAGTTAGTGTGGTGTGAGTCACACAAGCTCTATCTGAGGTTTCTATGTTTTTTTCCCCTGGTAATAGGGGTGGGGGGGTTGATAGTTTTTCCTTAATCTTGTTGAGGGTTAATAACAGTCAAGCCCTATGAGACAAATGGCCATTTATGAAAATGGGCTATACAAATAAAATGTTATTGATTGATTGACAAGCGTTTCGTGAATATGCTTGTATACCAAGAAGTTTTTCCATCTGCACTGAATCTTTCCCTTTTCTAAAAACTAGTTTGTTTTTGTCTGCATACCTTAAATCTGTTATTGCCCTCCCACATGCCCAACAGACATTACTCCCAGGCCCTTCGCTTACTTTGTGGCTTTGAGCTGATAAAATGATGTTCCCCACATCTCATGTGAGCTGTGTACAACCGAGGCGCCCAGCAATCAGAGCCATGTGCTCTCTCAAGTCCATTTGCAGGAATGGACCCTTGTGTTGTTGCTCCACAGGAGTTTTCCTTGATCTCTTTCAAACCAGTCATGCTGTCGACGTGAATCACCATCTGCTCTGAGTGATGTTCCTGGCAACATTGCTGCCCTAGTCACTGAGGCACATAAACCTCCCCGCTACAATACGATTGCAAATCAGAGGAGTGGTGTAGCATTAGATGGAGTCGTGGAGAATGAAATTGCTGACACATGTGGCTCCGAAATGATTTCCCATACAACATTTAGGGGGGTGGGATAAACGCAGGCTTTCAAAAGAACTTAAGCGGTGAGCTGTTGCCTCTTTTTTTTAAACACGGACTAAATGGCTGTGTGAGTGATACGCTGCTATTCATTGTGAATTGAACCTGGCGTTGCAACTCGGCACTGCCTGCTGTGCTACAGAGATTTATTTTTATTAATATTATTATCACACATCTTACAATGATGCTGATGATGTTAGCGTTGCTAACTAGCTGTCAGCCACCACGCAGGATCGCTGGGAGTGTGTTTATGAACTGAAGTGTCTCCCACAGAGGTTCTGGCACTGACAGTATCACCCAGCTGACGGATCTGTTTCACCAGTCTAAACGGCAGCGAGCAGGATTGTTTTTGGTTGGCTCTTGCATCCAAAGGGCTACTGGTTTTGTGTTCGAAGCTGCTCTCATTGGGCTCATCAAGACCCATAGATTATATCTGAAACATCTTCTTGAGAACACTGAGGCTAACAAAGGATTTGTTCTGTTGAAAGATATTTGTTTCAGTGTGACATCTAGTGGCAGTGAATATTGATTGTATAATCTTTAACAAGAAATGACTAACTGCTTCCAGGAAAAGGTGTATTTGGGTTTTTCTTTCTGCAAATGGACTGATACTTAAT